AATATAATCAATAAAGGCAATTGATAAGTATAATATCAGCACTTATCGAAACCGGTCTTGCTAGCTATTGACTATTTTGATTCTATTCTTTAAATCATTATTCGAAACACACTCACACTCACACCCACACCCAAGATGATTTATTTGCTATGAAACGATGAATTTTTGCTCGTCTTAATTTTGACGTTTATCATCATTATCATCATTTTCATAAAATGCGTCAACATGGAGTACATATACGTGACAACAGCACGTGACTTTTCTTTTTTTTGTTGTTGTTGTTGTATTGGACCTTTTATTTGCTAAGTGGCAAAGAAAAAGAAACACATACGTACTCTATATTCTTTTTCTTTTCTTTTGTCGTATTTCTATCATACTCATGCACGTTGTTCGACACAACAGTTGTTACACAGGGTAAAAAGTATATTAAAGGTATTATCAATGAAATTTTAATTCAACTTTTGAATATATGAAATCTTTTACAAATTTTAACTACTCAAAAACTCATTTTCCTGATGTTTGAATTTTTATTTTTTTCATATCAAGATTAGTGACGTTATTAATAAGTGGTTAAGTTCTACACCGATCGAGTTTGCTCTGCTACAGGCTTCTTCATTTGTTTGAGTCTCTCATCGATAAAATCCTGGTTACATCATTAGTCAAAATGACACTACATAGTAATTTTTCATTGAAAAAATTATAAGACGATTTTCAATAAAATTATAACGTAAAGGGCTGATGACAGATTTGAGTCCTATCTGATAATCAGAAATATAGCATGATTGATAAGTTAGAGCTTGTTGATTTGTTGAGATATTAATCATACTATCTTAGATATTTAAAGATCCGATAGAATAGACAAAAAAATATCCTTCGCTTTTCATTAAGATATGTTCTTCTATTGGTAATATCAAACGGATATCAGCGAGACCTATTGTTAGATATAAATATCCAACATATTTCACACTAAACTGTTTGATTCATTTAATGGATAACCTCATCTTCAATTCTATCACAATTCATTAATATAATGCTCATTTGTGTTCGATATTTAGACAAGCAAAGATGGATTTGTAAGGCATATTACAGTATTAACATCGAATATTGATGTTTCGTTGAGTATTTGAATTGAAGAGCGACATCTTAATAGACAAAAGAATTTAATTTGAATAAAAGATCGATATATCATTTCTAATGACTTTACAATATTTGAAATAACAATTGATACCTAAACAAGCTGTGGATACTCACAGACACTCATTCTAGACTACGCTTACGTTTTTATTTAGAATATCGTCTTTTTTGTAATCATAGATGTCAATGCTCACAAAAAAAGCCATATTCCAGTTAAAAAGAAAAAAAAGTGTAGTCTAGAGTAGGTGCCGGCAGTTTTTCTGGGCATCCAAAGATTTTTGCTTCTGCTACATAAATTTTTGTTAGAATTATGTTCGTATTAGTCATATGATTGTCTTCATTTTAGAATATTATACAAAAACACATCGTTCATGAAATTGTTTTGAAGTGCAAAATTTAAATCGATTAGTCTTTATATGGCTGAAAAACGTGTTTTAATCTTAGACGATTGTCAAGTTCCATCTACGATAGCTTCACATTCATGGTCGGATTTCATTGATGATGATGATAATATAGAATTATATATTTTTACTAGTAATGGTGCATTATCTGAAAAAGATAAATCTTCTCCACATATTCGAGCCTATAAGGAAATAGCACATCCAACAACAGATGGTACACTTGAATTATGGGCATTTGAAATGTATAAAAAATATTCATTTACACATGTCTATACAAACAATGAAGATTTATCTTTTTCAGATAATGCACCATTACTAGTAAAAATATATAATTCTATATTATCATCATCAT